CCTCATCCTCCTCCTCCTCCTCCTCCTCCTCCTCCTCCTCCTCCTCCTCCTCCTCATGCACCCCATCCTCCTTCCTCCACACCCCTCACACGTTTCGTGGCCCGATAGGAAGCCCCAGCTAAGGCCCAAATGCCAGGGTTCGCATGGCCGCGTGGCATCGATGTTTCATTTCGGCACATCCCTCACACGCTTCGTGGACCCATAGGGAGCTCCTGCTAAGGCCTCAATGCCAGGGTTCGCAGGGCATCGGTGTCTGATATCGGCACATCTCTCACAAGCTTCGTGGCCCCATAGGGAGCTCCAGCTGAGGCAAACATGCCAGGGTTCGCATGGCCCTGGAGGCGGTACTCACAACGACGGCACTCACAACTGCATATGGTTGGGCCCCTCGCCAGGATGATGTTACCAGACATCGTGGCCGTCTGGACCCACAGTGTAGCCAGCTTTGCTATCGGCGGCGAGCGAGGGGGGGTAGTGAAAAGGGGTGGGCCTTCTCAGAAGGCTCGGAAGTCCCCAGGCCTTCTGCGAAGTTTTCTGAGCCTTTCCCGAAGACGCAAAAAAATACTTCTCAGAAGGCTGGAGGGCTTCTGAGAAGCCCCGCCGCCTTCTGGGAAGGCCTTCTCCCTCTCATTCCGCCCCCTCGCTCGCCGCCCATTCTAGGCGAGAGCAAGATCCCTGACCTGGTGTGAGGAAGTCTCGAGCGAAAGCGCCGCCGGGCCGCCTCCGGACCGGACGGTCTCAGGCTGCCCGTCCCCTCGAGGCCCCCTAGGATACCTCCAGGAGGCTCCCGGGAAGCTCCCAGGAGGCCCCAGGAGTGCCCCCAGAGGCTCCCTAGATGCTCCCTTCTCCTCCTCCTCCTCCTCCTCCTCCTCCTCCTCCTCCTCCTCCTCCTCCTCCTCCTCCTCCTTCTCTCCTCCTCTGTGGGACTCGTCTGCGGTCCTTTCTTACAACTCTCAGAACCCTCCAGCGAAACAGTATCTTCCATACGGAAGCTTCTTTACACTTTTCGCCGTCCCAAACACGCGGGGCCCGAGCAAAGCGACTCGGGATGACAAACCCGCCTCGGGCAATAGGCCGGAATTTCCGCGGGACCCGCACTGGAAAAACTCAAGCAATCGGTTGTCTGGGTCCACGCTTCCCACGTAGGGTCCGAGTACAAATGGGTCAGAGAATTGCCGATGTTTTGGCGATGCAGCTCGATGTGGAGCTCGATGTTCTCCACGCCGACGGCGCCGACGCGATCCTCCGACTTCATCTGCTCCGAACCTGTTTAGGAGCCCTCCAAGAAGAGAGGATCGCCACGAGCCCGAGATCTGAACAATGGAGATGGGTACGGAAAGAGTGGTGGCGAAAACCGGCAGGATGTATTGTATAAACATGCACCGCCCCGTTTGAACTGACAGCCCCCGTGCGTTCCTCATTCCTCCTCCTCCTCCCTCGCTGCCCCCGCACATCATCATCATCATCGTCATCATCATCATCATCATCATCATCATCATCATCATAATCACCATCATCATCATCATCATCATCCTCATCCTCATTAGCATCATCATCAGCCTCATCATAGTACTAATCTTCCATCAGCATCACCATCAGCCTCAACAGCATCATACACATCATCATCATCATCATCATCATCGCCATCATCATCATCATCATCAGCAGCAGCATCATCACCGCCATTATCATCATCCTTATCACCAGCTTGAACATATGATCATCGGCATTATCATCATTTGCAGCAACACCAGCACCACCACCACCACCACCATCATCATCATCATCATCATCATCATCATCGTCATCATCATCATCACAATCAACATCATTATCATCATCACCATTACCCTTATCATCATCAGTACCATCATCACCACCATCACCGTCAGCAGCAACTTCGGCGTCATATGTATACACATTACCATTGTCAGCTGCATCATCATAACCATCATCATCAGCGTAACCGTCATCGGCATCAACATCACCAACATCATCATCACTACCATCATCAGCATTATCAGTATCACCATCATCATCGCCACCATCATAGTCATCATCAACATCATCACCACCAACAGCATCATCATCCTCATCATCATCATCCTCATCACCATCATCATCGACATCATCATCATCATCATCATCATCATCATCATCATCATCATCACCATCATCATCATCATCATCATCGGCATGATCGCCATGGTCAGCGTCGTGCGTCTGCTCTCACTTCTACATGCCTGCACACCCCTCATACGTTTCGTGGCACCATACAGGGAGCTCAACCGCAGGCCGCAGCAGCTACGTTCCCATGGCGCCGCCGCACCCCTGTCGGCACATGCTTCACACGTGTGGTTGCGTCATAAGGAGCTCCTCCGAAGGCCTGAGCAGCTACCTTGCCCGGGCACCGCCACACCCGCTTCGGCGCACCCCTCACACGCCACGTGGCCCAGTAAAGAGCCCCACCGAAGGCTTCAGTGGCAGCGCTCGCATGGCACCGCCGCGCCCATGTGGGCACGCCCCTCACACTGTTCAGGGTCCCTTAGGGAGCTCCACCGAAGGCCCCATCAGCTGCGTTCGCACGGCCCCGCCCCGCCCAATGCCGGCTCACCCTTGACACGCTTCGTGGCCCTACAAGGAGCTCCATCAAAGGCTCCAGCAGTTGCGTTCGCATGGGTCCGCCGCACCCGTTCTGGCACATCCTTCAGACGCGCCGTGGCCCCATACGGAGCGCAATCGAAGACCGCAGCAGCGGCCTTCGCATGGCACCGCCGCACGGGTTCGAGCACACGCCTCACACGAGTCGTGGCCCAGTGGGAGCTCCACCGAAAGCTCCAGCGGCAGCGTGCGCATGGCTCCGCTGCTCCCATTTCGGCACGTCCCTCGCACGCTTCGTCGTGGCCTCACAAGGAGCTCCACCGAAGGCCCCGTCAGCAGCGTACGATCAGCACCGCCGCACCCGTTTCGGCACACCTCTTACACGTTTATTGAATGTGTAGGGGGCCCGACTGGCAGTGTCCGAACGTTCCCGCAGCCTCCATTCCGGCACACCGCTCATCCGCTTCGTGGCCCCATAGGTAGCTCCAGCGACAGCCCTAGCGGCTGCTCTCGCATGGCACCGCCGCACCAATTTCGGCACACCCCTCACCCTCAAACGTTCCGTGGCATTATAGGCAATTCTACCAGAGGCTCCAGTGGCAGCATTGACAAGGCACCGCCGCAACCATGTCGGCACACCCCTCGTACGTTTCGTGGCCCCATAATGAGTTCCACCGAGGGCCCCAGAGACTGCGTTCGCATGGCACCGCCCCGCTCGTGGCGGCACACCCCTCGTACGGTTCGTGGCCCCATAGGGAGCTCCACCGAAGGATCCAGCGACAGCATTCGCATGGCAACGCCGCGCCCGTGGCGGCACACCCCTCGTACGCTTCGTGGCCCCATAGGGAGCTCCACCGAAGGATCCAGCGGCAGCGTTCGCATGGCAACGCCGCGCCCGTGGCGGCACTACTCACACGTTTCGGGGCCCCACCTGCATTGCGATGCTCGCACCCGCATATGGTTGGGTCGTTCGCCAGGATAATTTGAAAACGGCTCGCTGTCGGTGTCGACGCGGACGCTGCCCACTCGATAAAAAAATTCGTTTGCCCAACAGCGCCCACTTTCGGTTGTTGACCATGTTTGTTATCGGGCGTTGTGCCCGTTTTGGTCCGTACCCATTTTGCGCGTGCATATGGGGGTCTCTTGGGATGTCTCGGGGAGTCCTGGAGCGCTTTTTGGGGCTTCTGGGGGGCCTCTAGGGGACATCTTGGGGCATCTTGGTAGCCTCTTCGGGACCTCTTGGAGGTCTGTTTGGGCGTCTTGGTGCATATTGGGAGCCTCGGGGGCCTCTGGGGGGCTCTTGGGACTATCGTAAGACGGAAGGCTTGGTTGTGTTCCCCATGTTGGGGCTCTCTCAGGTGCCTCTTGGGCCGTCTTGGGAGCCTCCTGGGGCCCTCTTGGGACGTCTTAGGGCCCGGGGCCACTTCGGCAGTCCTGGGGCGCTATTGGGGGAGCTTCTTATGCCGCCATGGCGCGTTGGGAGTTGAGAAGAGCGAGAAGGCTGATATCTCAAAATAACAGCGGGAACTGGTGAGATTGGCCTCGTAGGTCCTCTTGGAGCGCTCTTGGGGCCTCTTGGGGACCTCTTGGACCATCTTGGGCGCCTTGGAGCAGGCCTCTTGGACCCGCTTGGTCGCTTCTTATCCGCTTCCCGGAGTGCCGGGAAGTTCTTAGGAGCTCTCGGGACCAGCTGGACAAATCAGCGTCTGGGCCTTTACGAACGTTTTAACTCACCAGCCTCGAACTTATCCTTATCCCTAAGATTGACACGCCAAAAGGCGATGACAATATTATGGATGCGCCCTGAAAAACTAAGGGAATCCCTAAGATCGGCATCGTGATGAGGCGATGCCCAGCCTAGGGATAGGGATATGTTCCAGGCTGGTAATCAGCCCCCTCTACCTCACAGGTCTGCAGAGCTGCATGAGCCTTGGGGCTCTCCGCTACGTGTTGAAGGCACGGTGACGGATCATCATGATGTGTTCTTCCGTTCGGGGGCGGCAAAGATGGGGGTGATGACAAGGGGGGGGGGGGATATCATGGCGTGGGCCATGATATTTCCCCAGATTTCATGGCGCCTATTCTTATCCATACGTCCCTGGCCCCCCCCCCTCCTGGGCCGCGCACATGCCGCCCGCCATGATTTGCACCCCCCCCTCTTGGACGCCCCCCTCTTTGCCGCTCCCGATCCATGTCCCTAGTCATCGTTACGGCTCTACAGGACATTACACCCTGCGAGCGGGCAAGGTGAGCAGATTGATTCAGGAGAGCCCTCGAAAACGGCCCAAGCAAGCTCCTGCCGTGCACTCGTAGCAATGTTGGCTCAAGCCTGTTTGGCTCAAGACGTGTACTTGTAGGAGGTCCGTGGGGTCTTTGCGGAAGCGATGTGCAGGCCCTTGCTATGTAGATGCATCGTCGTTCTGCTTCTTTCGGCCGGCCTCGGTCACCCCGTGAGTACTGACATCGACGGTGTGCCTGCCGGTGCCTGGCGCTGGAACCTTGACACGGGTCACGCAGTCGATTTTGGCAATTTGACCTCTGGTTCTCCCGGGTCGCAGCCGCGGAAGCATTTTGACAATGCAGTCGGGCTGCTCTACAACTTCCTCTATAGCATTGCCGTGAGTGAGTTCCGACAAGCAATCGCGCAGGCCCCCGACTTTCTCATGGCATATTGGGGTCAACTCATGTGTTGCTGGCATCCGCTCTGGATGGAAGAACAGCAAGACGACGATTGCGCCAAGTCATTTGCAGAGCTTCAGCAGGCTCTCAATAGAACGCGGAATGTCTCGTCTGACCGCGAGCAGCAGTATGCATCGGCATTGCTTGGATTTATGGGTAGCCGAGGTACTTTGCCACGCCTGGAGCGATTGCAAACGTACTCCACAGCAATGAATCACCTCATACAGGGGTACCCAAACGATCGCGAAGCACGCACGTTTCTTGCTCAAGCGTTGTTGGCTGTCATCAGTCCTGGTGAATGGGGGGCCGCTGCCAGAGCAGCATCCCCTTGGAGCGCAGGTTCTGGAAGCCTAGGGCAAGCAGCAAGCGTGTTGCTGGATGGTGTTCTCGCAGAGAGACCAGCGCACCCTCATGCCAATCACTTGCGAACCCACCTCTTGGACAATGTAGAGCATGCATCTGAAGGCATTTCATCTGCCCTGCGTTACGCTGCAGCATCGCCCAGCGCGTACCATGCCCACCACATGCCGTCTCACCTATACTTGCGGCTGGGCCAGTGGGAAGATGCCGTGACTGCAAACCAGGCGGCAGAGAAAATAAGTGACTCGTACGTTGAGCAATTCAAGGTTCCCCGTGCTGACTTTTTCGATTCTCATTCGGCAGAGTTTTTGCATTACGCTCTCCTCCAGCAGGGGCGCTATGAAGAGGCGACTGCCGTGCTCCAGCGGGAAATCGAGTTTGAGCACAAGTATCGGGTGGCTCAGATGGCCCCTTTGCAGGCAGTTGAAACGAATGATTGGTCACTCCCCCTTCCAAGTCTGATTCCCTCCTGTGTCACGTGCAACGACCCCGAAAATTTAGATGATGCGTACGAGTCGCTCTTGCAAGCAAATGGGTCGTTGCTGTACGGTGCTGGGATGGCCGCCGCTAACCAAGGCAACCGCACTTCTGCGTTGAGCATGAGTTCCGAGCTCCATGCATACGCGGCCACATCGATGTCACACATGCCCTTGTTGGCGGGCTCCCTGCGTGCCTCGGCGCTCACTATCGAAGCAATCGCAGCCGAAGATGGCCAGGAGGCCTTGGCACTAGCAGAGGAAGCGTCATACATCTGGCAGGGGCTGGGACCAACCCCTTATGGATGGCCTCGCTTCCTGCCCGCGCAGGAAGTTTTTGCAGACTTGCTCCTCAAACATGAGCGTGCACGTGATGCTCTCGCAGTGTTGGATAGGGCACGGGCCTCGGGTGCTGACAGGGGCCGCACTCGAGCGCTGTACATTCACGCACGGGCCACTGCAGCAGCGGAGTCCACACTGGCAGCATGCGAAGAGTACGAGGCGTTGGGGAAGCAGCTGCAATATGCCGATCGCGGATGTGCAGTCGCAGCTGCTGTGCGTGCATGGCTGCATGAGCATCAGGAGGCGTGCTCCCGTCTCTCGCCGCTCATTGGTCCGAGTTCGCCGTGGCCGCGTGTGCTCGCTCCACTCGCACTGGCTGCAGTATTGACGGGCGGCGGCGTGCAAGTGTTCCGGCGGAAAGCAGCAGGCAGCGTACAGGAAGGCAGCGAAACGAAGCAGGCTGCGTCGCAGTAGAATCCACGCGGCACAGCCTGCAGCCTGTCATGGCGCCAACATCGCAGAGTGGATTTCGTTCAGAAAACAGTAGACGCGGCCCGAACTGTCCTGGAGAGTTTCGTTCTGGATGTCGAAGTGAATTTCGTGCGGAATTTTTGGCCAGAATGAAGACTACAACCATTCCACGCGAAATTCACTTCGTCTCTCGCTCGCCGTTTCGGGGCTCTGCATAGACAGAAATCCACGCAACAATCCGTTGCGGCACGCCTGCAAGGTCGGTGCAGTGAAGCCTGCCACCTTGACAAAGTGTGTTGTGGCAGCTGTCTGGGCAGCTGCGTGAGTTTGGCATCCAGTGGTGAAAGGTTGCCAGACGGCCCCTGGGACCCCGAAAGCTGCTATGGACGATGCCCGCAGAGGCCCACAGCAAGGCCATCGAAGTGTGCAGGAGCCCCCGCATTCGGCCCAAGAAGGCTCCCAGATGGCCACAGAGGTCTGGCGATCTTCCACGAGGCGTTCAGGATGCGGCATGAGAACAGAGCTCCCAAGAGAGTTTGCAGAAGCCTTGGCATCGCTCGGACGTGTGCATTTTTCCTTCGGCGAGGACCATCTAGGAACATCCTTGATAATTTGGCGAGAAAAACCACGCACGAAACCGAAAAAAAAACAGGGAATGGACGTCCGAGCGATGGCCAGAAGCACGTAAACAGCATCATGATAGACGTGAGAAGGCGCGCAGGAGTGCGTCGAGGACAAAATCGGTTGCGCTGCGCAGCGCATCTGCTCGCGAGATGCCCGTCGCTGTCCTGTCACAAACCCAGGCGGAATCCCACTGGACTGCACATCGTCATCACGTCCTCCCTTTGTTTGCCAAATGCGTCTTCAATCTTCTCTCAAGTATATCACCCCATCTCCCAAATAGATCATCGCATCCCCCATGCCTCTAATCCCAGATCGTTATTTCCTCCTTCTCTTGGTCTCTACCTCCCTACCTTGAGGTTTGTTGCCATGGCCTATTCGGCACTCCACCACTGCCCATCATACATGAGTCCAGCAATGTGCCCCATGCGCGTCAAGCCTAATGAGGGAAACAACTGTAGCGACTGAACAGATGAGCAGATGAGCCCCATTGTGGAACCGAGGAGGCAGAGACTGCGCCACTGTGATAGGCATGGTAGGTCATCGGTAACCGACACCCACCCTGAGGCGAGCCACCGATAGGTTCCACACCGCCAGACCCACATTTCATACAGTCGGCCCGGATTAGTAGGTCGACCCTTCGCAAACAAGGGTACCCTCGTGTCTTGTGTCTCGCGACCCATGCCTCTTGCATTCCTGTGGCCACGTGGCCCTCGGAAGGGTCTTGTGTCCTATCGCCTGGCCTATCCAATCACGCCCGTCTGTATTTGATACACAACACTCAGGGAGCGAAGAACGGTATAAAGTAAACTTTTTCGTTGTCGGGGGCGCCTGTCCCTGGGCGGCTGGAAAGTTTATACCCCTACGGTGCCACCGTAAGGGTATAAACTTTCCCCCATCAGAGCTTGCCTCTGTAGGGGTCCTAGCGGATTCATATGGTTATGTTAGCGTGGCCGCCGATTTTCGCTGCACGCCCGGGTGCGCGGGTGCCCAGGGGTGCTCGGGGGTGAGGTTGGCTGCCGATTTTCGCCGCACGCCCGGGTGTCCGGGGGGGGCCCGGAGGTGCCCGGGTGCCCAGGGGGTGCCCGGGCGTGCCCGGGGGTGCCCGGGCGTGCCAGGGGGTGCCCGGGGGTGCCCTATAGCCCAATACCCTTTTAGCACTACAACGCTATAGCCCTATAGCTCTGTTGCCCTACAGCTCAATGGCCTTATGGCCCAATAGCCCCCTAGGGAGCTGCAACCGCCGGGGACGGCGCAGCAAGCAGCCTCTGCGCGAGGAGCTAACAGGGTGCGTTCCGGCACTCGGCCCGTCGGACTCGGCATTGCAGCAGTCTGCGCGCCGTCTTGCTGGAGGCGCTCACCCCGAGAGCCAAGGGGGGTACTCTTGGTTCCGACCGCCAGGAAGGGAGGTGGCGGCGGCGGCGGCGGTGGAGGAGGTGGACGATGGGGGAGGAAGAGGAGGGGGATGGGGAGGGAACGAGTGCGCAAAAGGGGGCGCGGGAGGAGGAGGAGGAGGAGGAGGAGGAGGAGGAGGAGGAGGAGGAGGGGTATCGCGCTGCGGAGAATCGAGGGGAAGAGGTGGTGACGGAGCCCCGGAGCTGGCGGCAGAGGCGGCACCAACGCAAGTTGCAGCAGCGGCGTGGTTTGCGGGAATCCGTATTGCCGCTGTTGCTGCCGTCACCACCGTCGTGGTCCGCCGCCGCCGTCTTCGTCGTCGTCGTCGTCGTCGTCTTGGCCGTCGTCGCCGCAGCCGTCGTCGCCTCCATCGTCGTGGCCCTTCGTCGCAGGCTGCGGTTGCGGGGCAGATGGCGACCCGGGACGGGTATAAGTACGTGCCGCTCGAGATCGACGACGTCGACGCGTCCCAGGACGGTCATTGTCCCAGAGGAAAGGGGGTTCAGAGATCGAGGACGGTCGAGGATCGAGGCTGTTCCCTGGATGCTTGGTTGGGGGCTCCTGAGGTACCCTCGCTGCCACGGCTGGATCCGCCTCGAAATTCTGCCCAGAGTACACCCTTGCACACGTCTGGGGATCGGCTTTGAGGAGGAGGAGGAGGAGGAGGAGGAGGAGGAGGAGGACCTCCCTTCCCACCTGAAGGGCCTCCTCCCCGATGGTCCAGCAGTTGCGGAGAAGGAGGAGGAGTTCCGATTCAGCTTGGCTGTGCGAAGAGAAGAGGAGGAAAAACGAGGAGGAGAGAGAGAGAGAAAGAGATAGAGAGGAGGAGGAGGAGGAGGAGGAGGAGGAGGAGGAGGAGAAGGAGGAGGAGGAGGAGGAGGAGGAGTAAATCCAAGAAGATGCGTAAACGACGCTGCAACGCACCCTCCCGTCCCAAGTCCCCTCCCCATACGTTCCTACAGGCCCCGTTCCACGTCAAGAAGCGCAGTCGCTTCCTCGCTGCCTGAGGCCACCCACGGATGGTGGCGCTTCTTTCCGCCTTTTGAGGACTCAAGCCGCTTGGCCAGGGCTTCACCCGATGTTCTCGCCGTGCTCGTTGCGACAGCAGAACTTATGGGCTGGCCACGCACCCTCCGAGGCAGCTCGGAGGGCCGGCCCTCCCGGGGGCGCCCGGGGGAGGAGCGCAGCGCGGCGCAGGAGCCCAAACCATGTATGGGTGCCAGTGCCCAGTTGGCTTTGGGGCCCAGCATTTTTGGGTACGATCATTGCGCGAACTCCCTGCGTCTGCAGCTTGTGGCCATCGAGTCCCAACCGCAAGGTTCAGCAGATCTCTGGAACGACCCAGGCGCTGTGTCGCCTTTCACAAATACATACTGGCTAGAACTGCATGCGAGGCCCCTTCAGAGAAAGAAAGC